AAAATTGATACTTATTATTTTTCTGATTATAAATTATTAGAAAAAAAAAAATAAAGAATAAAAAAATAAAAAAATAAAACATAAATTTGATAGATTGGAAATTGATCGAAGTTCGATACTTTTTTTTTCATATTTTTATAATTAAAAGAAAAAAAAAAAAGAAAAAAAAGGAAAGGAAGATAATAATGAAAAATGAAAGTAAAATGGATTATATATAATTTCGTTTCATACTTTTCGTTCTTCCGCCAGTAGAACCACCACGAGTTATTATGTCGGAACCATCCTCTCGTTTCCAAACGATCTCTGGTTTCGGATATCCTCTAGCCTTACATACCAGCTTAGTTGAACCACCTTCCGGAACCATTAAATCGTTGGACGTTTCCTCGGATATGATGTCCGGTGGTATTACTACTTCGAGAAAGGCGCTCTGTAATTTGTGTTAGAAATCGATCATCATTTTACTCTCCTTCATTCTCTTTTTTTTTACTATATCTAACTTAATTAACATCTTTCCATATTTTAATTAATCAATCTTTAATATTAATTATAATATTATCTAATGAAACATGAACAGAAATTATTATTCGATTAAATATTATATCAAATGAGAATATGGTAAACTACATTATTTTCAAATCTTATTTTTGAGTCATCATTGGAAACACGAACAGTGAATATTCAATAAGATATTGTATCAAATGAAAATATGATAAGCTAAATTATTTTCAAATCTTATTTTTGTGTCTTCATTGGAAACACAACAAAATATATTCGATAAAATATTATATAATAAATGAAAATAATTAAATTACTTTCAAATCTTATTTGGAGTTTTTTCATTGGAAGATCTTGTATATAAAGTATAATTGAATGATTGTCTTACGTCATTGAATTCACGTTTATTAATAAATCGTAGAAATAAAAAAAATATTATAAATAATAGAAGAGAGCGAGAGAGAGCGAGAGAGAGCGAGAGAGAGAGAGAGAGAGAGAGAGAGGAATGATATTTCTATTATAAAAATGTTAAGTAGAAAAAATGTAAAAGAAAATTCATTCAAATTTGATTTAATGATCTATTTCTATTCGTATAAAAAGAAAAATCAATAAATAAAATAAAATAAAATATGATTGAATGAAATAAAATTAGATTGTATAATAGATTGAAAAATCATACCTGACTTTTCATAGGATTGGTGTTAACTTGGCACATGTAAACTCCACCATCCTCCTTCCTGGCTCCACGTATATTCAACGTCCAGGTGTTTTGATCATTGTGCGTGACAGATAGACGAGCATTATTCGTGATGACGTGCTCGTGAATTGCTAAGATCGCCTTGGTATCCGCCTTGATCCACGCTACCTGGCCTCACAAACCCATTTCTCAGTAATCTCTTTTCTAATCCTCACAAATTAACTTTCCTATGACGTTATAACACGATCTGTTTTTTATTTTATTTTTATTTTATTTTTATTTTCGATTGTTTCATTCGAAAAATTCATCTCAATGATACAATCACGACAATATATCATTTTGAATGATTTGATTTGTTTGAAAAATAATAATTCATTTTTGTCAAACAACCCCCGGAAGAAGATCTCTCTTCATTCCTAGATAATAAAAAGAAACAAAGTAAAAAATAATTTTAAAGTATAACAAATTGCAAAAAAAAAAAAAAATAAAAAAAAATAAAAAAAACATGTGTAAACATTTTCTTTTCTAAGGTATACATTTCTAAATAATCAAATATTATACAAAATTGACAACTACTAGCATACTTCCCATTTTTTGTCCTTACTTCGATCACAGTGAATTACAAAAATAAATTCTTCGTCCCTCTCTTTTCTTTTTTTATTCTTCAATACCTTTACATAACACCCACCCATGTATATACATACATAATATATACATAGATTTTAATATCGACACCCATAGCTTTTCTCTCACAGCACGAACGACGAGCCCATAACGATTATAATAATATAAATAATAAAAATTAATAAATAATAAAATACTATTAAAAAAAAAAAAATAAAACTTCTATCAATTTTGTTCCATTTTTTTGTCCTACCTCGATTACGAAGGATCACAAAAATCAATTCGTCGTCCTTTTTCTTATTTTCTTTTTCCATATCCTTACCTAACACCCACCCACATATATAGATATATAGATTTGACTATCGACACCCATAGCTTTTCTCCCATAGCATAGATATTATTGGCACGAAATTGAACTCCCTTAGCTATGTCGAGTATCTGACCTTAGCGTCGTTTTGAAAGGCTATCTATCAACCGACAAAAGAGGTCTGCGGTTCTCTTCTTATCGATAACTCCAAAGTGGAGTGTATAGATAGATAGAAAGAGAGAGAGAGAAATCGAGAGAGAGAGAGAGAGAGAGAGAGACAGACAGAGAGAGGGAGGGAAGGGAACAGAAGGTAGAACCTTAACTGAAGATCCCTGCTTGCCGAGTAGAAAAGAAGGGGAAAGGGTAGAACGAAAAGAGGAAGAAGAGGAGGAAGAGGAGAAGGGAAGGAGTGAAGCGAAAGAAGGTGTAGGATGTGTAAAAGGGGTAGAAGAGGAAAAAGAAATGGGAAGGGGAAAAGGGAAGGGGTGCAAAAGGTGGAAAGGGCTTGGAGTGTTTGGTAGTGATGGCCTTGTGAGTGCCTCCACTTATAATACATTATGCGGAGTATGCTAAGCTCACGAATCCTCCTCTCTTTTCCTTTTCCTCCTTCTTCTTCTTTTCCTTTTCCTTTTCCTTCGTTTTCTCCTCTTTTTTTTTCATATAATATATCCTTTCTATATATAAATATGTTTATGTATATGTATATGTGTATATATAGATGTATATTCTATTTCTATAGGGCTCTCTTTTTATCCTTTCATTTTTCCATTAGAAATAATTTTATTCTGGATGATGATAATCATTTGTACAATTGTTTTTTCTAGTTTGTTCTATTTTTAATTTTCGTTCAATGTTTTTTTGTATATTTATTTTCTTTCKTTTTCTTTTTCTTAGTTTGATTGTTCATTTCTGTTTTCTTTTTTTTATCATTTTATTAAATGTTAGACTCTATTGCTGCAGATTAGGTACAGTACATATTTAAAGTATGTTTATTGTTGAGAAGAATTGAATGAAGAAAAGGGTTTTTCTAAATATATTGAGAGTTTATGAATATTGTAGACAATCCAAAAGATTAGGTTTCTCTTTTACAGAGTATTATACTACATATATATTAAAGTTACTTTTAAGTTACGTAGGTATTCGTATATGATGATGCAGTAGTCATTTTGTGTAAGAAACTCTTGACGAGAAGACGAAAGGAGAAGTAGAAGTAGAAGTAGCAGCAGCACTTCGACTTAAACTTCAATGTTACTAAAAGCTATATACTTGTAACTTGTATTAATGTATGTATTCACGTATGTATTATATGTATATGTATTTGTGTATGTATTTATATCTTATGGTTACTCTGCTGTTCACTTTTCTCTTCCTCTTTCTCTTCTCTCCTTTAATTTTCTTCAAACCGCTAAGGTTTCCTCGATTATAGATACAAAGTTTCTTTAGTAAGGTACGAAGGAAGGTACGAAGGAAGGTACGAAGGAAGTAACTGAAGTAACAGAAGCGTATCTAGTATTTTATCGATACTACCTTTCGATGAGGTAGTTTATGGGATAGACGAAGCAGACGTTTGTCTATTATGGTGTTGGTATGACCGAGAACCGAAACGTGACACTTTGGTTATTACAAAAGGTTCTGTGATCTAACTATCGAATCAGGTAACTCAAAAATCTTATTTCAAAGTCTTGCGATGTGATTCAAAAAATTATTTAATATATAATAGTTATACAGTCTGTCTTCTTATTTATATTTTATTGATTCTAAAATTTACAAAATATTAGATAAGTAAAAAGAATATGAAAAATGAAAAGAGAGTTTCATAAAAAATAGAATAATTACTTTAAAAACAATAGTATACTATTTTTCTCTCTTTCCTATAATTTATAATGATCAGAATTATTATACACGAATATTAAAATAAAATAAAATAAAGGTAATATAAATGAATGAAATAAAGACATAGAAAAATATAGAACGATAGGTAAAAGTAAAGTTAAACAAATAAAAAAAAAAAAAAAAAAAAAAAAAACATAAAAGATTAAAGTATATTTAAATAAAAAATATATAATAATTATTATAAAGACACGTGCGTATGTTTATCTCTCTCTCTCTCTCTCTCTCTCCCTCTTTCTCTCTTTCATATTTTATAATGATCAAAAATACAATAAATGATTAAATTAAAATTAAAAAAAAAAAAATTACAATAATGATAAAAATTGAACTCTAATATTGCAATTAATTTATGTAAATTTTTTAGAATAATATTAAGTGTTTTATATGAAATAAAAATAAAAGAATCATGTGTGCAGATCACACGTGTTAAAAAGTGAAACCTTTCAAAAACTAAGTTTCGAGAGAATGAGACGAATGAACAGAGTATCAAAAGTAAGATAATTGCAGGATTTTTTTAATTATAATATTGTCATACCATATATATATATATATCAAAGGGAACCGGAATGAATGAATAAAATAAAAAGACATAAAAAAATATAGTACTCTAGTAAGAGTTAAGTTCAACAAAAAAAANAAAAAAAAAAAAAAAAGAAAAAAGAAAAAAAAAAGAAGAAGAAAAATGTAGAAGAAGAAGAAGAAGAGGCTCGTTAGAAGAGATAAAGAATCTCGAGTAGGTTTATCCTCTTTGCTTGGAGGGTCTCCCTTTTCCGGATATTTTCGACTTACGATCGTTCCGCCCTTCGTCGGTAAGAGACCCCTCACAGGATAAACGGAAGGATTCACAAAGTAAGAGAGAGAGAAGAATAAAATATAGACAGAAACCTACCACCACTATCACCACCACTACCACGACCATCATAACCATCACTAACTCTCTCTTTTACTCATATATATATATATATATATATATACATATATATGTGGGTGTATGTTAGAAAAAGGAAAATAGAGAAAAAGAAAGAGAAAGAGAGAGATCATATACAATATATATATATATATGTCTGTATATGTGTGTGTCAAGTTAGAAAAAGAAAAAGAAAGAGAGGAAGAGAGAGAGAGAGAGAGAGAGAGAGAGTTAGATATAGTAAGGGAAAGAGAAGGAGTCAGATATAATATCGCGAAGGGTGCATCTATCTTTGGCTGGTTCCATTCTCGTTCCTCTCTTTCATATGCAAAACCATAGTCGACGTTCTATTGTCGGCCATTGTCGAGATCAGGAGGTAGGTTCGGGTCCAGTCTACCTAACACACCTCGTTTATTTCTACCCTTACTCTAACCCACCCCCTTACTCCCACTTTCATCCTAACCCCACTACTCCTTTTACGTTCTCGTACCCCATTTCACCTCACCTCACCACACCTCACCTTTCCCTCTCCTTGTCGTCGTCTTCGTCGTCTTATCTTTCTCCTTTAGCTTCTTCAACAACCCCCTTCTCAACCCCTATCTCATCCCTTCTTCCAACTCCGATGGAAGCTTTCCTTTAGCTTCTTCTTCAGCCAGGGGAGCCTCATGACTATCCACAACTCCCACCCCTTTTCACCTACTTTTTTTTTTCATTTCTTTTTCATTTCAACACTTTTTTAGAAAACTTTGAGATTTTTGGAAACTTATGTTAATGGTATCAACCCCCCTTTCTATTATGGCAATACTGTATCGATACTTTTTTATTTTTTGTTAATTTTATATTTTACTATATTTAACCCTTAGAGTGCTATCGATGCATATACGTGTTTGTTAATAGTAATGTAAAATAAAGTAATGTATATGTTAATTAATTAACATATTATATATTAATACATATAATAATAATAATAATAATAATAATAATAATAATAATAATAATATATATATATATATTATAAATATTATTATATTGTACTATTAAATATAATTTATTATTAGAATCTAAGTTAATAATAAATTATTCCATTCTTACAAAATATTTTAGTTATAAGTATTCACCACTCAAAGGGTTAATTCGATTATTTATATTATTATTATTATTATTATTATTATTATTATTATTATTATTATTATTATTATTGTTACTTTTCTTTCTTCTTTTCTTTTATCAAAATAAGAAAAGGTGTGAGAATTTTATTTCTTAGGTTAGATAAAAAGGATCCTCCTATGCTGTTTGTTACCCCATTTGGATAGGGGGTGAGGGATAAGAGTGTTGCTGTTACTTTTCAACAGGGCACGTAGATAAATGGGATAAACTCGCGCTAATTAAAACTTTCTTTTGGTCCTTTCGTCCTTCTTCTTTTCCTTCTCCTGTCCTCTC